ACTTTAAAAACATGCAATAACTAATTCATGATGGCAGTTCAAATCCTATCATCAGCCTTCATTATTTGACCAAGCTGAGTTCAAAGATAGAGCAAGTTTTAAAAAACTCTTGAAAGTTTAAAAGTACACTTTAAATTATAATAAAGAAGCTGTGTTCTTCTTCTTTCTACTAAATATTAAAAAAGCTGTAGCTTTAAACCATGTGCAAGAACATTATTTTAAGAATACATGCAAGATAAGAGTTAAAATGTGCATATAAAATCCTGTATGATCTCAGATTCTGTTGTAGTGAAATTGTATGCTATAGAGAGAGGGCATGTGTAATATACATGTATGTATATATAATAAAATACTTGCTGGAATTTTAACATTTGACTTTACTAGAGATTTAGTGGGACTTTGCCTAAGGCAAGTTTTTAATAGCAATAATAAAAAAATACTTAATGGTACTTAGGGTAAATAATGTGTGGTCACTATGTTTAAAAAAAAGTAATACCAAACATCTGTGCTAGATTTCCACATGATAAAATCCCCACATTACCTACAGTTCTCCCAAAGTTATAGAGAAAAAAAAATCTTTATTTTAAATTCTGAGAGAGACATGTGACAACCAATTTAATAACTTTAAGGCAGGCATCTTGTGTTTTCTGTCAGGAATGTGTATTTAGTGATCTTCATGATATTCAATTCTGAACATGAAGAATCCCATGGTATGACATTATGGCTTTAAGACAGATTTCAACCATTAACATACTTGCAGGGAGACTGCCCAGCCCAAGAATGTCATTTTTCTTATGTGTGTGCATTTGTAAAGACCACTTTGTTCCATACAGGATACATTATTTCTTTATCAGAGCAAATGCTGTATCATTTTGTCTCAGAAAATAATAATAAAATTCTTCTACCTTTGAAACACATTAACAAAAATATTTGCGTGAAGTAAGTTAGTTACAGACACAGGATTCAGTCCAACTCAGTGATGGAAAACTGAGTGCAAACTGGGCAGAAGTTCTCAGAATCTATGGAAAAGAGCTCAACATTCTCTCCTCAATATGCTGCATCTCCAAAACTGAAGCAGAAACACATGCTCACACCTTTTGCTATTCAATCAGTTTCATTTGTTCTTTTTTGCTTTCTGAATCAGTTGTAACAAAGTTTCCTAAGTTGCTATCACAAAGCTGGGAATCTAGCTATCTTTGTGAAAGCTTATTTCATAGATTTTAAATTTCTTAAGACATGGGAAGAAATCTAATCCCATTATTTGCATAGCTTATTTCCTAACATTTTAATGAACCTTACCAACACCGATACTATTTGCCATTTCTAAAAAAGAGCAGGATTCCAACTTCAGCTAAGTGTTCTCCTCCTCCTGTATAGGAAGCCTCTAATTTGGCATTCCCAAGACCTTCAAACACAAAACTTGAGTAAACCTATCATCACAAGTGGGCCTCTGTAAAACAAAGTTTAAAGTTGCAGTAGACTGCACACTGCAGAAAGGTACAGTCTTTAAGGGCCAGGTAGTTAACACACCAAAGTCAATCCAAATCTGCTAAGAGCTATTCCTATGCCCCTGGTACACTAGCTATTTTTATATCTCTTCCTTGTACTTTCTCTAAGAAATATAATCCAAAGCCTAGAGAAATTCCGTATCTTCAAAGGCAGCTATATTATGAAATTCTGCTATGGCTATTCACAGGAAAAAAAGAAACAATTAATGGCTCAAGAAAGAGAAAATTTTACATGATTCTTGGATGCGAGGCAAATTATTTTTAATCCAAACAGCAGGATATTAGCTTTATGGTGAGGTGCTCACTTATGTGAAATAGGCAGAAAATGAATACGAGAAATACTTTGTAATTAACAAAGTGGTAGATACTGAAGGACAAAGTGGAAAGTTATTTCTCTCTACTAGTCAAGTAAACTTTGAAAAAATTACTAGCTAGACAAAAGCAGCTAAAAAAAATATATCCCTTACTATACAATGATCAGTGCTCAGAGCGGTGCAGGTCAAGGAAATAGAACTGACAGCCATGGGAGACATGGGTGTGTAGAAAAGGGTGTCCTTAATTACCAGTGTTTCACAACCAGTTACTTCAGATTCTCTCACAGTATGTTTGTTTAAGTCTCTGGTTTGGTCAAAAGTCTACCCAGCAGTGATTATTAATAACAAAATCAATTTCTTCTGCTTCTCATCCATCAGCTTTCTATTCCACCATGTTGACAGATCTAAAAGACTGTGAATGAACAAGAGAGAAGACAGATTCCAGCTTTGGCACTATTTTAAAGCACTAAGAAATGAACAGCATAAGGTAGAAAGGTACGGTTGCATTAGGGGAAATCATGTTTAAAAGCTCAGCAAAATACATTTAAGATTTGGCCCTTCTCCAGTTAGGATTTAAAAGGTAACAGGATGGTACACAACTAGATTTCAAGAACTGAAAAACTTCAGATTGAAAGTATTTTCAAACTAAATACCAACAGCACAGCTTATGAGAAGCCCATCTATATCCATACTTTTTAATGTAGTGTTGAGGCTGTAAAAAATCAGTAATCTTCACTTTTTTTTTTCCCCACATTCAACCTCATTTCCACTGTGTACAACTTTTTTGTCTTTTTCCATAGACAGCACTCTCTCCACTGGAGACTACAGCCAAATCTATCATTGTAAGAGTAAATTGACACACAGAAAATTCTGATGCTTGAATAACTTAATTTGCTGCTACAAGGAAATTTATCTTCCTTAACTTGTTTCAAGTGCAGTGGCAGAAAGTCAAATAGCAAAGTAATTAAAAAACAGAAACAAGTGTTTAGGATTTGGTCAAACAGTATATTACACATGACAATATACTAGTTTCTCAGAAATACACTCAACACATGATTATAATACTCCAACCTGTAAAAATATAGAAAGCAGAATATTTTAGATGAAGTTTTAAAATGAAAAATATATTGTTAAAGATATAGAAATATTAAAACAATTTGATCAAATACTAAATAATGAATGAAATTAATTAAAAATGTATCCAAGTTCCAGTTTACTTTTAAAGCATTCTTAGGGGGAAAAAAATCCAGTAACTCTGCAAGGTCATTTGAGCAGTTAGAATGAAAATTTACAAATACAAATTGAAAAAAATAAAAATATCAATCCACTGAGAAGACTACTGCAGAAGATTCAACACAGTAATTCCTGTTTTATCACGTTGGAAAACTGTATTATGGATTTGTTTCATGCGTATCATGTTTGTGCAACTGTATTGCAGGATGAAGACTACATTTAGTGACAGCAATTCAAACAAGCACTGCAGAATAACGAGGACTTAGCAAACTACACAAAGATCAAAAATTGATCCATTTGGACTTTTAACAAGTAGATAAAACTATAAAGAATATCTGATATTCCCTCAAAGCAGGCAGACAACTTCCCATAACAAGACAGCAAAAGACAAAATTTGAACCTCAGAACTTTTTCCAAGAACCCACTTGAACAATCAAATCCAGATTCCTGGAAAAACAAGCAGGCATCTACTAAACATTTATTTTCTGCAGAGTTCATACACCCTATACATCATACCTGAGTGCTAGCTTATAGAACTTCTCCCAAAATCAGTATCATTAACTCCCTATGCAACTCCTTCCAGGATCCACTGATTTTCAGACTTCATTAACAGGTGGCACCACTTTTTAATTACAATTCTGCCTGTGAAAAGATTCAGGATCTATGCCTTCACAAGAAAACTTTACTGAAATGTATCATTGTGACTTGCAAATTTTCCAGTTTCCACACTTCAGATGGGCCCCAGATACCACTAAGTCCTCAATATTCTCAGTCACAGAAGACCAGACAAAAAAAAAAAAAAGAGGAAGAAAACAGAATACTAAAGTAGCCATAAGCTAATCACAAAATAATTTGTCCATATCAAAGAAAACATTTTGACAACATTCTGTAGATGTAAACAGCTGTTCTTAATCTCTAGCATTCATATGTTTCAGTGATACACAGGAGCAAATAATAGTTTTCTATGCTCTTGTACTAATTTCATTCATGTTTTTCTCTGTCAGGCAAACTGGTGTTTTTACTAGACTGGAAGTTCAATCGGACTACACTGTTTCTAGAAGAAACAGACCTGTTTGTCATGATTCTTCTTATTGGGGGTAGCTTGTACTCCTTCTCCCTGCAATTTTCACCCTTCTTAGCAGGAAGCAACAGGGTCTTTCTGAGGAAGACTCGCACTGTCCTGTTTGCGTGATGCCAGTCACGTGACAATGCTGATGGACTGCTGGGATGTAGAGGCGTAGGTGGGCTAACACCCAGCAAGATTTTGTTTCAAGTGTTCTAATTCAATCATCCCACATCCAGTCCCAAAAATGCATTCACAAGTGATGTGGGCAGCTGGCATAGGTGGGCTTGGGATCAAATTAAGGATTTCTCAAGGTACAGTGCAGCCATCACCCCAGTGTTTTAATGTACAACATTATGTTGTATACTTACTCAAAAAGTTGGGGCACCACACATGAAAATACATTAGAAATACACATAGGCAGAAGCCTTTGTTCCATGGAAGGTAAAACATTTTAATGCACTCATTTCAAACTCAAGGGGTAAAATCAAACACAAAAGTAGCATGCACTTATGGCTATTTAGTTCATAGCACCAGAAGGTGTTACTTCTCTCTTCAGTAGTTCTAGTCTTCACTTGCCAAACAATGACTTGTGAAATACAAAGAATACAGAAAATATGCAAAGCAACAATGACTGAGACAGCAAGTCCCAAATACAATTACTTTTCTTCCATAATTTCTTATAATTTCTTTCAAGTGTCATATAGTCCTGCTGTATATTTATTACAGATGTGTTCTAGATCTGTAATAAATATGCACATTACCTTTATCTATTAAAAAATGAGAGCAGATAAAGAAAACACTTAGATACTCTGAAGTATATTTCTAAAACAGCAGCAAGTACTTTGACAGTATCTTTTAAATAAAGAAGTTTTTTCTTACCTCTCTAAGATGCATGTTTTCCTTCTCCTTCTGATCTAAAATCACTTCTAAATGATTAACCTGAGATTCAGCTTCTGCCATCCTTCGAGTTCTCTCATTGTCATCTTCCATTCCTTTAGATGGCAAACCTTTACTTTGCAACATTTCCAGAAGCTTCTTTATTGATTCATCTCTGGCATTTAGTGTTTGCTTTTGTGTTTCAATCCTAAGCTCCATTTCTTCTAACGTTTTTCTCAACAGGAAGAGCTCTTTAGCTTGTCTATCATGTTCTGCTTGAAGTCTTCGAAAATTCTCCTCTGTGAGCTCAATGGTAAAATGCTCAGCCCCTCGGTTTCCACTTTCTTGCTGGAGAAGATGGTTAAGGTCTCTCTGGGTTCTAAGCTCATCTTGAAGTGCCTGGATTGTCATTTGCAGATGCTGCAATAAGAAAAAGACAGGAAACAGAAGCAATTTAGGACCTGAATGTAGACTAGCATTTAATTAAACTTTTGTTGTATGCTGTTACAAAACCCCACTAGAATCAATAATGAAAGTATATCAAATGACCTTATAAAATAGCAAATGCATGTGACAATATTTGTAATGATATCTTTCAAGTGCTTCTAGGGAAAAAAAAAAAAAAGACAAGACACACACACAAAATAGTTTCAGCTATAGGTAAAACAAATAGCAAAGAAAGGCAAACCAACAAACCCAAACACTAGGCAGCGACACATCCATTAATACAGTTAATATGTACCTATAAAGCTGAAAGACTCAGTATTCCATGTTTTCTAAATTACTTCAGAGACTAAAGGTAATTTTGCCCTTCATGGTGCCCAACAGTACTGTTGCTTATGAAGTCAATCAAAGCTCTCACTAGAATTGAAGGCGACTTTGGGGAGGGGCTGAGTTGGGGCTGGTTGGTTTCAGTTTTTTCTTGTGGCAACTAAAGCTATGAACATGTTTAGTAAACAGGATTACTGTATCTCTAACAAGCAAACAAAAAACACAATAAGCAATACTGAATTATGAAAAATAAATTGACTGCAAATAGTGGACAAACCTTTGTTCTCCTGGCATCCAAAAACTGAACAGCATGGTAAATGAAAAAATGAAGCAAAATCAACATAAATAAAGTTCAGATGTAAGCAAAAGAGATTCAACAGAAAGAACTGAATTCAACAAAAAGTACCTTCAACAAAAAATAATTTTATTGAGTTATACAGAAAGGCACCAACAACTTCACAGTACTCAAATATACAAACCTAAGCTATAGACAGACTTTACTCAATGGATGTGACAGAGAAAAACATATTATAAATAATTAATCCCATAATGAATAATAACATTCCTATTTTATCTTACTATTCTTTTACACTTCAAGGTTTTTCAAAACACAGTAACTTGTCCTAAAATATTTGTTCTACATCTAAGTATAAGGATCTTTCTCTATTCAAGAGGTAAACCTTGCACTCCTTATTCAATATAAATCAGTCTCAGGGTATTGCTTTGAGGAATGAAGCTTTTATCTATACATTCTTCAAAAGAATGACTGGCTGAAATAAGACACGTATAAAGTTTACTTTGCAAAAGCACAGTGAACTAAATCCTCCACATGCCAAAATTATTTTGCTACAAAGCAACAGCAATATTCAGCAATTACCAGTAGTCTAGAAATAGTCAAAAGAAGACATTTGTTTTCTCTCATCTGAATAATGATTTAAGATGTCCCCCAATGTTAAATTAGACAATATTAATTATTTGATGCTAAAAACTATTAACAAATAAATTTTTTCCCAAGCCAAGCAAATGCCTTGTCTAAGACTTTAGCTAAGCAAAAATAAACTAATTTCCAAAGCATTTTAAATGTTGCAAGACAAAAATAAAAGCAAGCTTAACATACAACCATTCTCAATACAAGCTGTAAAAGCCAAAACTGCTGTATCCACACACAAATGATTAGAAATCAGACTTCAAACAGCAATTCTGTTAAGATAAGCCAGACAACTTCCTTCTCTATACCACAGCAACCTATGTATGCAGTTCTTAGGTTCTATCCATAACCATGTTTGTTGTTGACAACAGTAGTTGTGGCTGCTTCTCAGTAATTGTGTCAAAACTAACAGCCTCAGCTGTGGCAGACTACTGCTACTTTGACATAAGAGAATCCATTTTTGTACACCTTCAAGACTTAGAACTCTCTCTGAACATGATGGACCAGATTTAGACTTGTGCTGGCACAGACTTTTGTATCTGCAGCTAGTTAAGAAGGGAAAGAACAAATGTTGTGAGGGTGGAAAGAAACTGTATAATTAATTGCAGTAGGGGGAGGAATGTAGGAGTGCTGTGAATATCTGTCACACTGCTGTCATTACATAGACATAGAACTTCATGGGATTTCAAAAGATCATGCAAGGTCTATCATATATTTCATAACTTCTACAGGCCAATTGACAAGAAATATTTCCATGCCAATCTCTTGGCAATAGATAAACAGTTCTCTCTGAAATTTTTCATTCCTTCTCTATAGCCTGACTCCAAGATGCAATCCATGGAACGGCACAGGAAGTTCCACCCAACTTCTCTGGATTAAGCATAGTGCAGGTTTTAAAAATTTTCCCCCATAAACTGAAACAAAACTATGCAAGGAAGAATAATGAATGGCCATTCCCAGATTCCAATTCATATTATACTTGAGGAAGTTCCTCTAATCTGTGCCAACTGGCTACTGCCAAAGGAATTGCCTGCAGAGAACTGTGCTGCCACATTATGCCTTGGGCCAGAGCACATAAGCACTTTCAGAGCATCCCAAAGTCTTAGATACATGGTGAACAGCGGAGGAAAAGGAAATGACAGGGAGACTCCCCAGTTAAAAACTGTTAGTCCACCTACAGAAGGACACAGCTTCTCATACTTCGTACCATCACCCACGCACCAAAATCAAAAAACATATTGAATAATCCAGTCTACTGTCATGTAAAAAATTGCCTGCTACTAAGATGGAAGTGACAAGCCTTGTGCAAAGTCAAGAAAGAAAGAAATTATAGCTAGGGCTGTCTTGACTGGGAAAGGCAACCTAAAGGACTTGGTAGCAGGAAGTCAACTTATGCTATCATTAACTGATGGATATTGAAATATATATCCATCCATATACAATTTGCTAATACTTCTCTGTAACATTGTGATAATCTAGGAAGTTAATTCCTCAGACACAAATCACTGAAAATTGGGTACCAGAGCTGCTAAAGGATTCCGTGGGTGTTCTTTGATAGCCCTAAATAATTCAGTACAGCACTATGACCAAAGGGAGGGATGGCAAGATCATCCAGTAGATTTGAAACAACTACTTCTGTAGCCATCCAAGATGAGTTGTCATTTTAGTGCTTTATCCAAAAAGAACTATAGCTGCTCTGCCAGACTTGAGTGTTGTTTCCTCATGTGTTTGCCTCAATCCTCCCACTCACCCCCACTGTCTTTTTATTGTCATCTAGTTCCTATCTCTCACAGCTCCATTTTTACCTCCTGCTTCTCCTGTTTCTTTCCCACTTTAAACACAAGGACAAAATGTATTAGCTTTGTCTCCTGGGACCCTCTTACCTGGCTTTACAACAATTGAGAAGTAATGACTACTGTAATAATAATCTTTGTCCTCTCAGCGCCAGAACTTCCACATAATGCAATGGTCAAACAATCTGACAAAGTAAAAAAAAACTGACAGCAAAACCCTGCAAGTTTAGAAGGAATAATCAGAGTCCAGGAAAGAGAGCAGGTCCAGGCAGCAAACATCCACACACTGTGGAGTGGGATGTGAGGTGAGGCTGAACTGCCTTACCTTACACCAGGTAGCTGGCAGTATGGGAATACATAGGAGCATATCAGGATGGATTCATGACAACGACCTCCAGAAGAGCTAGGAATGAAACCAAACTGAAGATTTCAATATACTCTTTCTTTTTTTCCCTTTTAGTAATGTACATAGATTATTTTGTCAGTCATTTATGATCTGTTCCAGCCTTTGAAAAGTTATGATCTAACACAGCATTCTTCTGAATTTATTCTTCCAGCTACAGATGATTGTTTTAAGCAGTCTCTGCAGCTACCTTCTTCACAGTATGGGATAACTTATTAAGCAGCCTTGCACGATCACATTATCTGTGCAGTGTATGCAATGAAAGGTATAAAATATACTAACTAAAATAACCTGTGTCTTGGGACAAAAATATGGAATTTACAGGGCTATATCAGTTGATATAGTCTAGTCTTTTGAGAATGACAAATATATGATAAAGACTGTAGAAAAAGAATTCTACTGTGTAGCTGTCCATCGTTGAAAGCTACAGCTATAACTGAATACATCTGAAAAAGTATAACAGCAAAATACACTATCCACTATACTCTCATTTTCTAAAATCAAGCTGCATTATTTATTCTATCATCTGCCACTGCTCCATTTTCTTTCATTACTGCATAAAGCTCTACCATGGATAGGTGACAAAATAATTAAAGCTTTCCTATGAAACGCATCTAAACTGATTTATATGTTAACTTGAGTTATACTACTGAAAAAAGTATGAGCATTAGATTTGCAAATATTTATAACTAAACATTGTTAAGGACAAACATGTAAATCTTTAGTTTCTTCTGTAAGAGAAAACCGAAAAGGGAATTAGAGGTATTTTCTTCATCGGCATAAATGAAGAACTGAATTCTCCCATGCATTTGTTCATCTGTCTAATGTAACTTAAAATTCTGGCATCCAAACAACAACACGAATTTTGCTTGAATAATACAGGACTGATAGAAAGAGATGAAAGGAGAAGACAGATGTAATTTGTGAGGAATCACAGGATATTCAGACCACACATACAATGCATTTTCAGCATTAAAAATTCTGGAGGTGCAACAGATGTGAGACCACCTCTGTATAAAACCATTTGCTAGTAGAACCACATATTCAAAAAAGGGAGAACTCTTGTTTACCGGCTCTCCTTATGCTTTTAAATTTGGTGCCCTGTCAAATTCTATAAAGTTTGCCCTTAATACTTTGCTTTGCAAATTAAGTAAAGAATCCTGTCATCTACACTTAAATCTGCATCTCTTAATACAGACATGATATTTAATCTGAACTATCAGACTTCATTACCATTCAGTCATCTTGTCTGAGTCTTCTCACACAAATATTTTGGTGAAAAACAACTAAGATTGGAAAGACAAAGTATTGCCTAAAAACTTGAGGTCCTTGTACAAAAATGCATGTCCGTTTATAACTGAGGGGTAACTGTAGGCTGAAACATTTTAATATTGCAACATTCATAGTAGTTTTGCACCTAATTCTTAAGGCACAATCTGTAAATATGCTTCTTTCCTGTTTCCCTCATTTGCTCTGGGCTGAGAGACATCATTTTTCATTTATTTCCATTGCTTTGCCATTTGCCCTAAGTAGGCCTGCTATCACAGATACAGTTTGTCATTGTGTCAAATAATATTTCTTCAAAATTCGTACATTTTGATACAATTGATACCACAAATCCATCTCTAAAGCACTATAATTCATTTGTTAATTTTGAGTATTTTGGGGTAGAAGAAACTAACTGTATGTCAGAAATATCTCTCCCTGTAATCCCTTTCTTCTTCCTTCCACTACATTTCTCCAGCATAGCAAATAATATGTATGTGATCTCACTTCAGGTCTTTCAAATTCACCTTGCCTCCAAAATGCAATACTTCCTTTTTCTTTTTTTTCCCCTCTGAAGAAAGCTAGCAGAATACTATTTGTTGAATTATTTATTCAGTGAAGGCTTTCTAATATTTATCAGCCAGCTTTAATAGAAGTCAGAACATAGTCTTTTTTCTGTGGAGACACAGTACATTTTACCTCAGTTGACATTTACGATTTTAAGTGGTCAGCACCTCTGCTTTATATTTTATTTAAGAGCCAAAAGAAATCTACATACTCAGATTTTGAATACCTCTACTCAGAGCTCAGAGAAACTATTTCAACTTCACCCTCCAATAAAAGCAGTAAGATCATCAGCCTTCACCTATGGATGACCGTGCTACTGCAAAAACAATACTTCTGACTAACGT